CAAAAAAAAAAAAAAAAAGGTGACAATGATCTTGGTCTTTTAGAGCTTTTATGAGTGTGAAGGTATCCACGAAGGAACTTTCACTCATAATTAGACACAATACTCAATATGTGACATGGGGAAAGACTGAAAGGTGAAAGGTGAAAACCCGTATATATGTTACAATCCCACGGAGCCCCTCACTGCAGTACAATGTGAGACCTGGACCTGGATGGAGAACTTAAGGCAAGTCACAGTCCCTGAAGTCTGAATGCTGGTCCAGACCAGGGAAAGAGGAAAGCCCAGCCAGGTGACTCTGAAGTTTGACAGAGTCAAACCTATGACCCTGTGGTGTCATAGGGTGTGGGGTCAAATGTAGAAATGTATGCTGTAAGGCATCTGGGACAGTGAGCATGACAGCAAAAAGGATATCGTGCTCAAGAAAGGAGTAGTGAAGGCAGATTGCTCCATGGGTCAGTGTAACACCTTGGAGCTAGTCTTGTAAACTGATGACCAAGAAGAAGTCATACGAGATGTAGGAAAGAAAATTCAGACATTGCCCCAGGTCCTGGTGTAGACGTAAAGTGGGTAGAGTCCTCAAAACTTGTGCGGAGACTGATTTTCAACCCTCGGGGAATTTAAAACCCTAGTGGGAGGAGTACTAGCCATCATTGGAGTTTGCTTAATTATTCCCTGTGTCCTCCCACTAGTAGTCAGGGCTAGAGGCTCAATTATTGAGACAGTTGCCAATAAAAGAAAAACCCATCACACATGTTCTATATGAAACACTACTGGCTCCTACAGGAGCAAGATGATAGTGAGACCCCAAGTTAAAAAAATATATGGGGTATCAAAGAGGGGAATAAGAGAGGATACCCAGGAAAAGTAAGGTCTGAAAGAACAAGTTTTCTCACTGGAGCCCAAGGACACTCCTGCAAAGTCCTCCCAGTAGTGACTCAGCTCTTGGGAAATTGTAGAAACTTAACTTCTGGGACCTTGAAACTAACGCTTGTTTCAGTTTCTGTAAAAGTCTGCACCTGTCTTCTCCAACTCAGTTCAAACTGATCAATGAGAAAGGCATCCGTGGACAATGAACCCTTGGCTGGAGATAAAAGGGAAAGGACAGCCAATCAGTGAGCTCAGCCATTTTTGGACTCTAGTCCACTGTGGCTCTGAAGCCCTTCCTCTTTTAAACATGGATGTTTGGGTGTTTCTTTCTCTCCATCAGGCCTCGTTTTCCTGCAACAGTAGGAACTTCCTAAAAGCCACCTTTGTGACCCAGCTCCAGGCCCAGCTCTGGCTCGAGCTGATCAGTCACTGCTTCTGAGAATAAACTGACTCTGGCAAGCCAGGAACCACCTCCTCTCCCCCTAGGACTTCCAGCTATTGCTCCTCCAGGAGGGTCAGCAGGACCCTTCTTTCCAACAGCCATGCACCTGCCACAAATTGTTTACATTTTATTAGGAGCCACAAAAGCACAGCTATTTGCAGCATTCATTAAAGGAAAAGGGAGCAGGGCAACCCAGACTATTGAGTAAGTCCTGGCAAAGTGGGGCCTTGGCTGTGACTGCCAAGCAAGGGGGAGGTTTTTGCAATGGGTGTGACAGCTGGAGCCTTCCCTTTGGCCTTGGTGATACTGACTTTGGGATGAATTTTCACTGCCAGGGCTTGGCTGCTAGTAATGCAATAGCTCCCCAACATGGGGCCTTGAAAGAGAGTCAACAAAGGTCCCCCCAAATCTATGACTTTGGGGGAGGCACCTGTAGCTCAAAGGAGTAGGGCACCGGCCCCATATGCTGGAGGTGGCAGGTTCAAACCCAGCCCCAGCCAAAAACTGAAAAAAAAACCTATGACTTTGAAGAGGTCTACAGGTAGAAGACAGGGTGGGCTGAGTATAAAATAGCAGCCATCTAATTTGGAAACACTGAGTTTTATCCCAGTTTCATCTAAGGAGCCCAGAGCATGGAGGGCTGAGCCAAAGGCACAGCAGTCTTGGAATGAATCTGGATTCTCTCTCAGTTACTCACAAGCTGGGTGACCCTGGACAAGTAACTTCACTGCCCAGAGCCTCCATCACAGGGTGGACGTGGACGTGGAGAGTTGGGTGAACTGGGATGCAGGTCTGACACAGAGCAAGTACTGTCCTTGGGACTGAGACCCAGCCTGGTTTTTCTTGTGGTTTCTACAGAGCCACAGGCCACGGGAGAGGCCTCCTCCAGGGGCAGTAGACTTGGGTGTGGTCTTCGCTGTCTGAAAACCCTTGTCTATCTCTGTGCTCCTTGGCTCTTGCGCACTTACCCTGAGCAGGTGGCAGGTTGGCTATGTAGGAATGAAGGGGCTGTGGCTTGTCTGGGGGCTGAGGGTGGCTCTCTGACTTGTGTTACTGTGGCTTCCTACCCAGCCTGGCCTGGCCTTGGGAGCCCTCCCTCCACCTGGGTCCACCCACATTTCTATGACTGCCCTGCAGAGGGCTCTGGGGGTCTTTCTCACAGACCCCACTGGCTCCAGGAGGGTCTTAGCATAACAGCCTGGACCACGCTGTTGTACACCCTGGAAATATGGTTATCATCTCCCAATTCTGAGTCCACAAATCCACATTCCATTCCAGCCACACAGAACCTTCTGTTCTCTAAACCTCACCACGTTTCTGCATCTTTGTCCAGAATGAGTTCCCTGCCTGAAACATTCTTCCTCATACCTATAATTCTGATCCTGACACACACAGATCATCCCACTCTGACAACCCTCAGAAACATGAATTGAGCTCCTACTGTGTGCAGTAAGGGGTGGTGAGGGTGCCAAGAGACAAAGGTTCTAGCTAGAAACATGACCTGCAATTTCTTCTAAACCACAACCTGCCCCCTCACCCACACACACACATACACACCACCCTCGGGCCTTAGTTCGCTTTTCCCTTTGTTTGTCTCCTTCCCCTGTCACTCAGTAGTAGCCAAATTAGACTCTACTTTCAAACCTTAGCTCAGACACCAGTGCCCCCAGGATCTTTTGCTTGGTTCCCCTGGGCTCAGCCTCTGCACTGGTGTGGAACTCCTTCCAGGCATGCACAAAGTTTGTTTGAATTGTGGCTGGCTCTGTGTCCTTGGGCCTCAGCTTCCCCATCTGTAAAATGCATTATAGTAATACCTAGCTTGTGGTGTAATTCTACAGAGTCAATAGTACACTGCCCAGCTCATACTGGGTGCTGGACAAATGAGCTTTTACCAACAGCTGTGGCAGACTTTTCATCTCTGGACCCTTAGCACCGAGCACAGGGCTGAATATGTAATTGGTGCCAAATACTTGTTTAGGGGCTGGGTGGACAAATGGATGGAGAAATGGAAAAATCAAGGGTGTTTCCAAAATATGAGACAATCTTTGCTAATCTTCCAGGGCAGTGGGGGGTGGAGGGGTGCAGAGTGAGGGGGCCAGAAAAAGCCTGAAGGAAACGGACCCTATTGCACACCTAGCACACATTCATGAGGGACCCACGCACAAATTGTCTCCACACCTCGCTGCAGAACGAGGAAGTGGCTGTTCTAAGAGGATGAGCCAGTGGATCAGTGTCACACAGTGAGTAAGAAATAGTCAGGACCAGTGGCTTTGACAGTTTCCTTCATACCAGAAAAGAAGGGAAGGTCTTGCTCCAGGCCTTGGCTACCCTCAGGCTTCTCCTGAAAACTCCTAGGGGGCAGGATGAACCTGTGGGCAGGACAGGGCCGCACTAGACCAGGAACCTGTACAACCTGTTCAGCTGAAAACTTGGCTTTAGGGAATAAAAGGACAGAGGAAGGGTGGGTTGGGGAAAGGTTTGGGGGCTGCCTGCAGAGCCAGCTGAGGGGCTTTCCCAGCACCCTTCCTTCCCCAGCCTCTCCAGCCCTGCCTTCAGTAGCCTCTCTGAACAGAAGGAGTTAACTCTGGGCTTAACTTCCTGGAGGAACTTGAAGCTTTTGTTTCTTGGTCTTTTCCCCCCTCCCTCCCCACTCCTTTCCTGATCTTTACTCCTCCCAAAGGTCCCTCCTCCTTACTCTCACCTCCTGGACTCCAAAAACACTCTGATTGCCAGAGAGGGTCAATGGTTAACGCTCCATTGGCTTTAAATAAGCCTGCCCTGCTACCAACCGGCTGGGCTGCATCTTTGGTCCTCGTGTTCCCTAGCTCCCGGAGGCGGCTCTGGAAGCCCCAGTTGGCCCACACGATGGCCACCTGTTGGCAGGGCCTGTGGGCCTATCGCTTCTACCTGATCATATTCTTCCTGCCCATTTTCCTGCTCCCTTTGCCTATTCTCGTCTCCACAAAGGTAAGGACTTGGCCTTCTGGGCACACATAACTCTAGGGGATAGGAGAAGAACTGTCTGGGCCAGGGCTGGGCATCCTCAGGACCCAGCATAACTTCTTTACCCCCCCGTCCTAAAAGTGAGGATACAACCTCCTGGTCCTCTTGTGAGCTGAGGGGTAAGAGGTCAAACAGGGCTTTTGCTCAGCACCTAGTAATCGGAGCCCAATGTGAATGGCTTGCATTTGAAATCTACAGCCTTGGGGAACAGGAAGCCAGTTTAGTCCATAAAGGAGATTTAGGAGGGAGCAGGTGAAGTTGGTCTGCCCATTGGGTGGGCATACCCAGGCCTGGATTGGGCTCAGTGGGGACCAGGAGGGCATAGCAAGGTTTGGAGGGGGAGGGAAGGACAGTAGGAGAAAGCTGGCTTTGGGCAGTTTGTGTCTGTAAGAACGTAAGCAGAAAGAGAATGAGTTCACCTGCGACCTCGAGGACCAAGTCTTCTGAGGAGGAGGGGTGGGAATGGGAAAAGGGACCGCTGCCAGTGGACAGCACAGAAACTCTTCCCTGGATAGATGGGGAACAGGGCCCAGCCAGGTGTCACTGCCTCTTCCCCTGTCCCCAGAAGAAGGCATAACTTTATCTCTCATTAATTTGAGTCCCTACTGCCGGCCCTGAACCAGGCCCTTAGTAATTCTTTCTCCTATCTTAAGAGGCAGGTCTGACTGTCCCATTTTACAGATGGGGAAAATGAGGTTAAGTCATTTACTCAAAGTCCCAGGGCAGATGCTGGTTTTGTGGAGCTTGAATTATACATGTTGGGGCCCTCCTTTATAAGAAAAAGAACATAAAATTATAAATCTGAAATTAACTTGGAACTTTGGGAAGGGTCTGGGAAGAGGGCTGTAAAGCTCAAGTATCTCATTAAGTCTGCCTCTGGCAAATTACATGGCTGGGAAATGGCAGAGCTGGGAGTGTGTTTTGGCTCTGAAGCCTGTGCTTTCTTTACCCTATTGCCTCCTAAAGGCTGAAACAGAATCGTGGCCCTGGACCCAGCCCACCACCCCAGAACTGTCCATCTAGCCATCTTCTTCCTTTTTTCACAGATAGGGAAATCAAGGCAGTCTTTTTTATTCATCATATCTCAAAGGGGTGAGGGGTTGGGGTTGGTAGTGGCATAGCCTTGGGCCCTTGACACCTGGTGGCAACGCCTACCTGACCTCTGTGATGACCTTCATCTCAAGCTAAAGACATACCATCTCTCTGCTGGGGACCCATCGGAAAGGTTTTCAGACAGGCTGGGGCAAGAATGTTAACCCCAGGAGGGAAGCCAGGCAGGGACCATGTTTTCTACTTCCCTCTTCCCCTCAGTGAGAAAGCACAACCTAGAAAGATTCAGTAATTTGCCCAAGTCACACAGGAAAACCTGGATCAATCCTGGAAGCCAGGCCTCTTGCTGGGATGTGTTAGGAGCCTATGTTTTCCCTCTCCCTTCCTTTGGCCCCAGACACCACCCTATGCTGACTCCTGTCCTATCTAGGAGAGGCCAGCCCCCTCTCCAGGACTTTGCTTCTGTAATTATCCTCTCTTTCTCCCCTGTGTGATCAATTTTTCCCTGTCTGCCTTCTCTCTCCCACCAGCATATGGAAACAACAGGAACTCTCCTTCAATCTGACATTCCCTTTAGAGATTGCCTCTGTCCCTGTGTGCTCTCTCTCTCTATATATAAAAAGTTTCTATACATCATCTACACTGCAAATGCACTTCCCTCCTGAGACAGCTTCCATCCTCAAGATTCAGATTCCCATCAGCTTTCATGTGACCAAAACCCTGTTCCATCTCCCACCTCCTCAACCCTTCAGCAGCATTTGTCACAGCTTGTGACTCCCTCTTTGCCATGCTGTCTACTCTTGGCTACTCCTGGTTTTCCTCCCACCTTTCCTGGCTCCTCCATTTGACTCTGAAAGTTGAGGTCTTCCCCTCCTGCCCCAGGGTGATCTTACGGTGTCCCTGTGCTGACCAAGTTCCCATGTGGAACCCCAGCCCTAACCTCAAAATGTGTGTTATCCAACAAACACCAGCCACCTCCTGCCTCTGAATATTTTCTTTGTATGCAGTATACGCTTTTCTACATCCCAATCGAAACTCTGACTGCCCATCTTCTCCAGCGGGTCTTCTCCGGTCTTCCCAAGCTATGCTTCAGCCATCTACCTCACTGTGCTAGCTAAAACCTCAGATTCATTCATTTTATTTTATTTTATTTTATCTTATTTTTTTTGAGACAGAGTCTCACTTTGTCAGCTTCGGTAGAGTGCTGTGGTGTCACAGCTCACAGCAACCTCAAATACTTGGGCTCAAGTGATTCTCTTGCCTCAGCCTCCCAAGTAGCTGGGACTACAGGCGCCCGCCACATTGCCTGGCTATTTTTATTTTTTGGTTGTAGTTGTCAGTGTTGTTTGGCAGGCCCGGGCTGAATTCGAACCCACCAGCTCCAGTGTATGTGGCTGGCACCCTGGCTGCCCGAGCAGAGTCATTCTTCATCCGAGCACCGAGCACCGAGCCAGAGTCATTCTTCATCCTCTTTCTTTCCTTACCACATGCATCAGCAGGTCCCTATCACTCGATATCCCGAGAATATACTTTGAATGGAGTCACTCCCCTGCCCTTCACTGTCCCTCTGCTGTAATTTCCTACCTATTCCCCGCCTCTCCCCCGCCCGCCCCCACCGCCTTATCCTGAGATCACACTTCACCCAACAACCATACACCATCTTTTTAAAACAGCGCATCATGGCCTGGAGCAATGGCTCATGCCTGTAATCCTATCACTCTGGAAGGCCGTAGAGGGTAGATCGCTTGAGCTCAGGAGTTTGAGACCAGCCTGACTAAGAACCCCATCTCTACTAAAAAATAAAAAAAATAAAAAAAACTAGGCAGGTATTGTGGTGGGCAGCTGTACTCTTACCTACTTAGAGGCTGAGGCAAGAGGATTGCTTGAGTCCAAGAATTTGAGATTGCTGTGAGCTATGATAACACTACAGCACTCTACTAGGCCAACACAGTGAGATGCTATCTCTAAAAACAAACAAACAAACAAACGAGGGTGGCACCTGTGGCTCAGTGAGTAGGGCACCAGCCCCATATACCGAGGGTGGCAGGCTTAAACCCAGCACTGGCCAAACTGCAACAAAAAATAGCCAGGCATTGTGGTGGGTGCATGTAGTCCCAGCTACTCCGGAGGCTGAGGCAAGAGAATTGCCTAAGCCCAGGACCTGGAGGTTGCTGTGAGCTGTGATGCTACAGCACTCTACAAAGGGTGATAAAGTGAGACTCTGTTTCTATAAAAAAAAAAAAAAAAAAAACCACCCAGAACATCATGTCACCACCCTAACTAAACCCTACACTGGATTCCTGACAAGCTTAGAATAAAACTCAAACTTCTTTTTTTTTTTTTTTTAAGGCAGAGTCTCACTATGTCACCCTCGATAGAGTGTTGTGCTATCACAACTCACAGCAATCTCTAACTCTTGGGCTCAAGTGATTCTCTTGTCTCAGCCACCCAAGTAGCTGGGACTACAGGCGCCTGCTACAATGCCCGATTATTTTTTGTTGCAGTTGTCATTGTTGTTTAGCTGGCCCGGGCTGATATTTGAACACAGCAGCCTTAGCGTATGTGGCTAGTGCTGTAACCACTGTGCTATGGGCGCCAAGCCCAGGCTACTTTCTTTGTTGTTGCTGTCATTGTTATTTAACAGGGCTGGGTTCGAACCTGCCTGCCTCGGTGTATGTGGCCAGCGCCCTAACCGCTGACCTATGGGGGCAGAGCCAAAACTCAAACTTCTTAAGGCAACCAGGTCCCCAAGGCTCAGCTCTGGACCCCTCGGACTCCATCCTCAATGCCCCACCTCTCACTCCTCACCATCTGTCCTTCTGCTCCTCAAATCGCCCATTCCTTGCTTGGATTTTTCTCTTCCCAGATGCTGCCTTCTCATTCCTCCGGTTTCAGCTAAAATCCACCTCCTCAGTAAAGCCTCCTCTGAAAAACCCGGTCCATTCTTTGTTACATAGCCCTGTTATTTTATTTATAGAACATGCACTATTTGAAATTATGTGTTTACTTACTTTCAACTTCTTCTCTGACTTCCTGTGCTAGAATGCAAGCTCCACCAAGGCAGGAACTTTGTCTTTTTCCATGCAGAATCCCCAGTGCCTGGCACAAAGTAGATGCTCAAAAAATACTTGTAGAAGGAAGGGAGGGAGGGAGGAGAGTAATGTGGGCAAAGATGACCCTGTTCTGCGTCCCTGTTGAATCTGCTCTCTGTGATGAATCCCCACACCAAGCACCATGGCCCTGGCCCCCAAAGTGGGAACGAGCAGCCCCGGACTAGGCTCATATCTGCATCCATGATAATAGTATTGGTATTTATTGAGTATATTTCATGCAATAGGCATTGCACTAGACACTTCAAAGCATTAGCTCACTTATTTCTTGCAAAAGCTGGTGCAGTACCATGAGGCTACTGTTACTAACTCCACTTTACAGACATCTAAACTTAAGCCCACAGTGGAGATGTAATTTGCTATAAAAATCCCAGCTAGAAAAAATATTTAGCCTGGAACCTGGGCTTGGGGTCTATACATGAGACTGGGGAGGCAGGTGGTGTCCCGTACCTCTCAGGCCATCCTCCTTCATGACCATCTGGCCATCGGCCAGTCCCTCTGCCAGGCTTCAGTTCAGGATGTTTGCTGAATTCTTGCTCTGTGCTGGGAGTTCCTTAAAAGGAATACAGATGTTCTGTCCTCAACTTGCTCACAGTCTAGAGAGGAAAAGACAGTGTTTATGCCACACAGAGGTATAACCAGAAGCCTGCAAAGGTCAGGAGAGGGAGAAAATTCTTCAACTGAGTCAAGGAAAACCTGAAATGATAAGTGGTGTTTGAGTTGGACCTTGCTAGGTGAGATTTTTAAGTCAAACGCATCAACAGAACAGGTGAAGGGAACCACGGGAGGAAAGGTGTAGGTGTT